GGAGGAATCCTAGTTGCACTAAGGCTTTGATAATATGGTACCAGAGAAGTCTGGGATTAATATTGGAAGAGTCCTAGTGGCATTGGAACTCATAGTTATTTTCTAGAGCATTTCCTATAGTGTCCTGATTGAATTGGGAATCCCTAATATACCCGGGTGAAAATATGCTAGCAATTGCTTTGGACCAGTTTCAAAGCAAAAGGCTGAGTTTCAAAAGCCGGTGTCTTCTTTGCAAAGCTAATAGTGAGGACTGCTACCACTTATTAAATTTCTTGTCCAGTTGCTGTAGCTATTTGGAATTGGATTTTTACTTTGTTTTGGTGTAGGAGGAACTTGTCAATGTGGAGTGAAAAAGCTAATTATAGAAGGTGATTCAATGCTAGTAGTGGATTGGCTGCAAAAGGAGGGGAGTAGTTTTTGGAAGATAGAAACAACTGCCATTGTCAAACTTACACCAAGCTTGAGCGAGTCCCTCTCTTCGTTCAGCTTTGCATCGCTCAATTCCCCTCTCTCTTCTTCATCTTTGCACCCTATATCTTTCGATATTGGGCCTGGGAACACCTGCTCTTCATCAATTGCATTGATGCATCTCCAACAGACTCCAAGTTTTAGGTGAGGTTGAGTTAGTGAAACCATTTTACCTTCCATCCCAAATGAGTGCTTTGGTTGATCTTTACATCTCATTTATCTTCTGACATTGAGTTAGACGCAGAGAATTAGGGGGCTTGGTCAAGTGACCATATCCTCCCTCATTGGTAAATGACATCCCCCCTCGTTACATGTTTTGCATATTGAGCTTTTGTCCAACAGTTTCATGAGATTTTATGGTATGCAATGAAAGAAGTGAGAATAAGTTCGACTGATGGCATGCATGGTCATATAAGGTTTCTCGAAAGGTGCTTGGTTGGACGGATTGTGAACTTAGATCTAGACGTTGATGAGGTGAGGTCTTGGGCTACAATTGAATGGTGATCAAATTTGGCATTTCAGGTGTGGAAACCCGATGTGGGTTTCTTCCTTATTTTTTTCGGAAACGAAGAAGAAGCTCTTGGCATCCTCAATTGTGAATAAGATCAGTTCTGTTGCCCAAAACTCAGGCTAGGCAGATGGAGTCCTTTAGTTGGGGCATTAAGGAACTTGGATTTGGGTACTCCAAGCTTGGTGAGGATAAATGTCTATGGCATCCCCTTACATGCCTGGTGCTTCCAAACATTTTTAGCTGTTGGGGATGCAGTGGAAAATTCAGGTTTGTTGATTCAATGACTTTCTTGTGGAAGAACCTGGTCGCTGCATGTGTCCTGGTTGAGGTGAATGAGGTTCACTTGGTGCCAACATCGCTGGCACTTAATTTTGGTCGAGAATTGCATGACTTGAAATTAGTGGTTGAAGGAACTTATCCAGTTAGGTGGATGGAAAGTTTGGGTTTGTGGGAGGAGGAGAGAAGTAGATGTTGTCCACCTGTTTCGAATCATTAGAAGTCGAAAGCATAGTGTCAAGGCGCCTAGGTGAGCCTAGGCGATGGAATTTGATAGTATAAAATAAAGATCCCTACACCTTCTTAAACTACTTTATTAGTTTTTTTATACTAACCAACATACCTGTATACTGGCTATTAGCAATAAATTCATTCAAATAAAACATAAAATGCCATTATATATACATCATACTTGTTTCAGGCCAACGAAAAAGGGGGAATGTAGCGAAAAAAAAGAGAGAAAAATAAGGGGGTGGAGCCCCTGTTTTGTTCCCAAAAAAATATTTGTTAAAAAAGAAAAAAATATAGGGGTTAGAGGACATGGAGCAAATGTGTGTGTGTGTGTGTGTGTGTATGTCAGAGTAAGAGGACAACTTGGACTGTGTTTAAGGTGGCGGAGACCCTGTTTCAGGCTAATAAAAAGGGAAAATGCTACAAAAAAGGAGAGAAAATAAAGGGAGAGAGCCCCTGTTTTGTTCCAAAAAAAGCGTTATTAAAAAATAGTGCAAAAAATACAGGAAAGTTTTAGAGAGTTGGGGTACAGCCCCTGTTTAAGAAGAAGGGGGCGGAGCCCCTGTTTCGTTTCCAAAAGTATTTTTAAAAAGCTAAGAAAATAAAATACAGGAGTACCAGGGTGATTTGAGGAGGAGGAGGCTGAAGAGGTGGAGCCCCTGTTTCATCCCACAACTATTTCTTAAATAAGTAAGAAAAGAAGGACCACAGATGACAGAATGATTGGACTGTTTAAGAAGAAGAAACAGGAGCGGAGTCCCTGTTTCGTTTCCAAAAGTATTTTTAAAAAGCTAAGAAAATAAAATACAGGAGTACCAGGGTGATTTGAGGAGGAAGAGGCTGAAGAGGTGGAGCCCCTGTTTCATCCCACAACTATTTCTTAAATAAGTAAGAAAAGAAAGTCCACAGATGACAGAACGATTGGACTGTTTAAGAAGAAGAAACTTACCTGGAGGTCTTGGATGACTTGGACCGAGTCACTGGTTTCTCTTCTCAGTCTCGGTTCAGAATTCAAACCCAAAGAAACTTTTGTAGCCTTAGTAAAAGGAAAAGAATTATCTTTATAAAAAAATTGTAACATACAACAGGATGTATTCTAATAAAATAAAACCAACCAATAAAATGATACAATATATATAAGCATTCAAAAAACGAAAGGACTCTTTGTAATGGGAGGGGCGGAGGTTGAAGACAAAGGCTTTTTTGGAAATAAAGAGTTTAATCTTGATAGCGGTGGCGATTTGATGGCTTTGTTAGATTTCTGAGGTGATGAAAAAGTGAAAGGGTATGAAGTTAGTAAAAGTAATTTGAATTTATTAAGTGGTGGACAAGTGGATAGCCAGGATGTTAGGATCTTGGAATATAAAAAAAGATGGAGTTTTTTTTTTTATTAAAGAAGCTGAAGAGGCGGGTCACGTTCGTAGATTGGGCAATGGCTTAACTGGGGCTAATCTCTTGAAACTGAAAGGTGCTGGGCTTTATCCAGCCATTATTTTAGTAGGCTAAAGGTTTTTAAGAGAAGAGGCTTTAAACATAGGAGCTCAAATTTCCTCAAAAGGGTGAAGCTTCTATCATAGTTTGATGCGGGGAAGAGAAGAGTTGGAGATGAGCTGATTGGGTTTGGGAGATACTTAGTACGAGAGCCAAGGAGATAAGAAGACTGGTGCTGACTTTGGGACAAGAGTTTATGATGCAATGGTTTTGCGGGTTCTTGTTCTGGCTTGCGGCATTGTGAGGATCAGGTCTTGGCTTTGCTTGTGGCTACTTCTAAACATTGGACAGCTGGTGTTGAGTTGGATCAGGTGGGGGTTTGCGACTTGGATGTGTCTTCGACTAATGGCGCAGAGACTCTTCAAGATGAGGCGGTGGCTGGTTCTGGTTTGGAGAAAAGAGAGGGTAGATCAGAAGGTTATGTGGAAAAAGGTGAAGTTCCTAGTGAAGGTATTAGTGAAGTGGCTTTAAAGGAACATGCAGAGAAGTTGGAGACTGACCATAAGACTTAGGCTTTTGAGTTAGGTCTGTCTCAAGCGGAAGTTGGGGAAGTGTTGGTTGGTAGGATAAGAGTTGACTTGGGCCACAGAAGGGAAGGTGGTTGGGATCGAGAAGACTGTTGATCCACTGTCAACACGGATGCTAAGAATCCCTGAGGGTCAAGTTTTTCTCATATTGTGCCTGTGACTAAGGTGTTTTTGTGGCTGAAAGATGGTATTGTGGGGGTAGGGCCTACAAATAGGTACAAAAGAATATTCAAGAGAAGAGGAAGAAAGCCAAAGGTGCTGGTGTCTGAGGAGAGCTGAGGGGTGGGTCAAGTGTCTTTGGAATCAAAAACTACGAAGGGGGATGTCAAGTTTGAGGAAAGAAAGGAAGATTGGTTAAATGCTAAGGAGGAGGTACAGGCTCTGTTCCTATTTGACAAGACACTAAGACAAGGATGTATGCCCATAGAAGACCTCATTAACAGAGATGTTGAGGTGGGTAAAGGGCTCAGTCTGGTTTCTGGGAGGAGAAGAGTTTACCAGAAAAGCCTTTGAGGAACCTGAAAAAGGAAAGAAGAGAGGGCAAGGAATGGCTTAGTAGGAGAAGGTAGGGAAAGCTAGAATGAAGATGATTTAGGGCAGTGGGAAAGGTTTGAAGGGGAGGATTAGGGTGTGCTATTTAGGGGGTCTCTGGAATTTTTTCAGTTAAAGGTTTGTTTTTTGTTTGCTTTAGGCTTGCTGGTCTATAGGGATGATGCTTCGTTCGGGATGGTAGTGGGTGTTTTTCTGCATGTGTTTTTTGGTTCCTTGTTTTGGGGGTTTCTTGGTCTTTTGTTCTTCTCGCAGGTGATTCCTTATCACCTACCCTTGTACTTTATTTTTTTTGAAGATAAAGTAAAAAATTTTATTGAAATAAAAAAGAAGATACAAGGAAGTTGATAAGCAATCGCCTGAGAGAGAGACCATCCCAGAGAGAAATCCTAGAGAGGCATAAACAAACCCAAACAAACAGAACCAAAACCAAACTAAATTAAAACCCAACTAGAGAAAACCCCTAAAAAAACAACAATAGAAGACAAGACAAAAAATGACAAATGACACCAAGAACATCCTAGCCAGCCCAACGCCCACAATATTTCAGCAAGCCACCCAACCCTAAACCGGAACTCTAAATACCATAACTCTTCTCAGTTTTTTGAGTACTGTTAGTGTCGGCTGTATAGGGGTAATACCTTAACTCTTCTTCTAAGTTTATACTTTTCTTATGAAAATTATGGTTAATTATTTTTTTTTGAAGGATAAAGAGAAAATTCATTAAAAAGAAGAAATACAAAGAAAGGTGATAAGGAATCACCCGAGAAAAACTCATAGGCTGAGGACCCCAACAGGTCCGACAACAAACCATAACAAAGCCCAGAAATACAGAAACACACAAATGAACAGCCTACAAACTCAACAAACCGAAACTCAGCCAGAAAGCAACAAAAACAACCAAGAAATTAGAAAGAAACCCCTTGAAACTGAGGTGACCACCAGCTAGACACCTAATCCGACGATACTCGACCCTCAGCTTACAAATCAGACAAAGTCTCAATCTTCATCCACAAAAGCATCTTCCTGCCTGAATCATCCTCGTCCCAATCTTTGCCTCCTGATCGAACTTTTCTTTTCAATTTCTCATCCTTTCTGAATCATCCTCTTACCAATTGTGACCTCTCTTTCCACTAATTTCTGGAGAGGCACACAGCCAGAAACACCCTCATCATTGCTGGATTGTGACAACAAATTTTCTTCAGCAACAGGACTGTCCACACTCACCTTGTCTTCTTCTTGTTCCTTTCTCTATTTGAGAACCCAAAGATTTAGCCTGCATCATTGACCCCTAAAGATCATATCCAGAAGACCCAATACCTTTCACACCTTTTCTCCTATAGACCCATATATAATTCTTTGTTGGACCTGTTCTAACCAGACCAAGCCTCAACCTGGAAAAGATTTTCGTCACATGCACGACATTCTGATTTCTTAAACTACGTGGTTTTTTGACAGTCACCTCAAAGGTGCCTCCTCAGTGTTTCTTCTTCGACCCAGAATTAGCATCTGAACTCTCCCAATCCTTTAAATGCCACTGACTTGAAATCCTTCCCCAGGTCCACACAATTAAACTTCTGTCCCTCCACGTGTCTCTCCCTTCCAACTTCCAAACCAGCCTCAATAAGATCTAAGGGCCGTGGTCCTATCATGGGGTCCACCCTCTTAATAATCCCTTCTTGATTCTTTGATTTCCAATTGCCACTCCGAAGCTCGAGGCCCAACTTACCACCTCTATTAGGGAGGACCTTTTTCAAAATTCCCAACATACCCTCGTCTTCAACCTCTAGACTGAACCTGTTAAACTGACCGTTCGGCTTCCTCTTCTTTTCGGTAGGAACCAAAGAAACTTCATCCCTCGTTTTTCCCCAAACTCCCATGTTCTCCACCCACCTTAACTAATAAGATCCCTCAACAACGAGTCTTAGATTGAAAATCTCTCTGGCGAATCACAACGACAACGATGAGGGAGCACAATGAACTTCTTCCACTTCGACTAGAATACTTCCACACACTAGTTCTAGGATTGACAAACCTGAATCTCCTGCAACCTTCTCCCATTGTTTCAAACGTCTGGAAACACCACGTGTGTAGAGGAATGCCGTAAATGTTTATCCATACCAGACTCATCGGGCCCACATCTCTGAGAGCTCCAACTAATGGATTCCATCTCCTAATCCTCAGTTCAGGAGAACAGACCTGAGATTGTTCACGAACCATGGTTTCATATGCCTCCTCATTATCGAAAATGAATAGGAAGAAACCGGCATTCATTTTCTTTCCTTGAAAGGAGTTAGTTGGTCTCCATATTGCGATTGCCTACTCCTTCACAGCCTCTTCGTGTCTGAATTAACAAAGTGACCCACTAAACTCCTTTTCAGCTAACTTAGCCATCCAAAAACACTCCTGTTCGAAGTCACACTAACCTCCATTGTAAGAGGGTTATGGAACCTAGGGAACTACCCTAGGATATATGATTTTTTACTTAAAATCTATTGCCTAGGTGACTAAGCGACAAGGCACCCCCTTATCGCCCAGCCTTGCCTTGTCACCTTGGAAACTATAGAGAGAGGTAACACCTTGTGCCTCTCTGTGGGATGCTTGTAATGCTTATTCTCTTTGATATTTAATAAATACTTGTTTCTTTCTTTTGTGATTACTTGATGCTGCAGTATTTAACTGTTCTTTCATCTTGACAGGATGAAGAGTGTAATCTATCATTTTCGAGGCAATAGGGAATTTGCTCGACTAAGAATTGGTTTGTTCTTACTGTGTTTCACTTTAGCTGCATAGTAATTTATTGTTGGTTGCCAAAATTTATTTGAGATTATTGTATTCAGGGATTGGAAAGCCTCCAGGTCAAATGGATCCCAAAGCCTTCTTGCTTCAAAAGTTCAATGTAGGGGCCCGTGAACGAGTAAGTGCATCTCACTTCTACTTATAGCAGACATGTGAAGATTTTAGTTTCTGATGCACTCAGGCCTTGCCATTTTCAAGTTCCTTTCTATAGATCTAGTATAAAAAATCTTATGAAGATGCCAATTTGCCTAGTTGGTTGGTAGCCTTTGAGAATTGATAGCACAACTTACAAAACCTGAAAATCATATAACAACATTTTGCCACTTGATAAATTGGTCTATGGTGCTTGATGTAGCATAGCCTACAAATTCTGTTAAATTTCAACATTGTTGATGTCTGCAACAACAGCATATGCTTTATTGGAAACAAAGAAACTATCTACAAAATGGTGTCCAGTGAGCTAAAAGGATCACCGGGTCAAGTGTAGGATATAATATGGTGCATAGGGGATTTGGGTTTGGGGAAAGGAATGAACCAAGAGATACAATATTAGATTTTGTAATAGTTTATGACATGGAAATTTTAAACAACATTTTCCAAGAAAGGATGGACACTTAATAACATTTAAAAGTGAATCAAATATAAGCCAAATTTAGTGTTTCCTTACTAGGAGAACAAAATGAATGATGTGTAAAGATTGCAAAGTTATCGCAAGAGAAAACTTAACAACACAACATAGCTTAGTGTTGGTAGATATAAACATTAGGAAACGGAAGAGAAATAAGGAAGAAAATAAGTGTCCAAGAATTAAGTGGGAAAACCTAAAAGGTGAAAAGATAGCTCAATTTAGAAACAAGTTTATAATAGAAGGTAATTGAAATTTAGATGGAAAGATTAGTGATATTTGGATTGAAATGGAAAACAACATAAAGAAAGTAACAAAGGATGTCTTAAGAGAAGATAAAGAGAAATGGAAAAGTACTAAAGAAACTCAGTGGTGAAACGAAGAGGTCCAAAATATAATTAGATTAAAACTAGCATGTTAGAAAGAATGGAAAAAAGCTAGAAATGTAGGAAATTGGAAAAGTATAAAACCATAAGAAAGGAAGTTAAAAAGAAAGTGATTGATGTTTGATGAGATTTACCACAAATTAGGAATTAAAGAGGGAGGAAAAGGAATGTATAAACTTGCAAAGTTGAGGGAAAAGAAAGAGATTTAAACCATGTTAGGTGCATTAAAGATGAAGATCAAGTAGTCTTAGTAGAAGCTGAGGAAATCAAACAGAGATAGAAGACTATTTGAAAATTTATTAAATGAACAACATGGAGAGGATGCTAATGGAGGAAAATCTAGCAGTACTAGTAGTGTTACAAATAACATGTACCTTTGTAGAGTTAGGCCTATTGAAATAAAATCTGCACTAAATAAGATGAAGGAAAGGTGTTACCATGTTAAGACTAGATGGGATTTCGATGGAAGTGCGGAAAGGTATGGGAGAGGTAGTCTTTTTATGGATAACTAGGCTATTCAATAAGATTGTGAAAGAAAAGATTTTCCTTTTTATGGCTAATTCCTTTTTTTTTTTCTCTCAGGTGATCACCTTCCTTGTATCTTTTTTTTGTTTCAACAAAATTTTTCTTTTATCTTCAGGAAAGAAGAAGATGCCTGATGATTGGAGAAACAACTATATGGTGCTTATATTTAAGAATAAAGGTGATATAAAAAGTTGTAATAACTATCAAGGGATTAAACTCATGAGCCACACTATGAAACATTGGGAGATAATAGTTGAACAAAGATTATGATTTGAAACAAGTGTTCAAAGAACCAATTTGGCTTTATGCAAGGGAGATAAACCATGGAAGCTATATTTCTTTTGAGACAATTTAAAGAAAAGTTCAAAGAGAAAAAGAAAGATCTCCATATGGTGTTAATTGACCTAGAGAAGGCATATTATAGAGTTCCTTGAGACTTTAGATTTTATAGATATGATGGGTCTTTACCAACACTCAGCACTTAGCCCTTATTTAATGAAGGATTAAATGCAAAACAAAAAGTAGTTGTTTCCTTAGAAACAATGGGTTTTAAATAAGTAGGACTAAAACAAAAAGTATATGACATGTGTACTAATAGGAGTGTAAATCGGGATACATTTGGGATTGGAAACCAAGATATAACTCAATGTGACCGTTTCTAGTACCTTGGTTCAATAATTCATAATAAGGGGGAGATTGAGGAGGATGCCACCCAAAGAATTAGAGTAGGATGAGTTGTAAATCACACCTGCAATAATCTGAATTTAAAGAAAAGAAATAGTAGAAACGAAGGATATTGAAGAGAGAGAAGTGAAGGAAGAAGAAGATGGAAGAAAAGGAAGAAGAAGAGAGAGTAGTTCTAAACCTCTCTTTAGCCCCCAATGGTCTCTTTTATTCTTTTATTATAAAAAATAAGGATAATTACGTGAGTGCCCTTAGTAGGGCGTCCATCACTAAAGACAACAATAAAAAACAAATAAAGAAAGAGAAAACAGGCCCATAACTAAGGCCCACTACCTACTAGCACAAGTCATAAACATTACTTAAAGAAAAGCAAAGAAACTAAGGCCCATTCGGCCCATTACACAATGTTGTAACTTTGCCTTGGGAGACACCCTTCGTCAGAACATTTGCTAATTGTTGCTCTGAGGCAATAAAAGGAAGGAAAACTTCTCCAGAAGCTACCTTTTCTCTTGTAAAATGCTGGTAAACTTCAATATGTTTTGTCCTATCATGCTGAGCTAAGTTGTGAGCTATGTTGGTCGTAGCCTGATTATTATAGTAAAGCATTAAGGGCTTATCATGTGTAATATCCATCTTCTCTAGAAGTGACCTGAGCCATAACAACTCTGAAACTCCATGTGTCGTTGCCCTGTACTATGCCTTAGTTGAAGACCTGGCTACTACTGATTGTTTCTTACTCCTCCGGGAGACAATGTTCCCTGCAACCAAGGCACAATAACCAGATATAGATCTCCTATCATCAATAGTACCATCCCAATTGCATTTGTATAAGTCTCTAGCTTCATGTGTCCATGCCTAGAGAAGATGATACCCTTTCTTGGAGTTCCCTTCAAGTAACACAAAACCTGTTTTGTAGCAGCCATATGTGTGTCTCTAGGGGCATGCATAAATTGGCTGATCGCACTAACAACATATGAGATATTTTGTTGTGTCATGCAAAGGTATAGCAACTTCCTCAAAAGTCTCTGGAACACTCCCCTGTCTGCCAAAAACTCACCATCATTAGTTGAGTTTATGGTTAGCATCAATTGGTGTAGAAACAGGTTTGGCACCAAGTTTCCTAGTCTCTGTGAGAAGATCTAACACATACTTTCATTGGGAGATGACGGTGCTATCTTTAGACCTAGCAAACTCCAATTCTTAGGAAATATCCCAATTCCCCTAAATCCTTAATTTCAAATTCCGAGTTAAGGAATACCTTGAGTGCCTGAACTTCCTTTGTATCACTCCTTGTAAGTTGTAATGACAATATCATCAACATAAACAATGAGGAAGGTATCTTGAGTGCCTCTCCTATTCACAAACAAGGTATGGTTGGATTGTGTCTGTGTATAGCCAAACTCACCAGTGCAGTTTTGAATCTATTAAATCAATCTCGTAGGGATTTCTTGAGGCCATAAAGAGATTTCTTCAACTTGCATACCTTGCTCTGCATTTCCTTACTATACATACCTAGTAGAAGTGACATATAAACCTCTTCAGTCAAGTCTCCATTTAAGAAAGCATTCTTCGCATCAAATTGATATAAGGGCCAGTCTAACTCATTGCCAAGGATAGCAGAGCTCTCACTGTAGTCATTTTTGCAACTAGGGAGAAAGTCTCCATATAATCAACTCCATATACCTGAGTAGAACCCTTGGCTACTAGCCAAGCCTTATACCTCTCATTGGTGCCATTAGCATGATACTTGATACTGAGCACCCATTTACATCCTGCTGGTTCCTTCCCATGAGGCCAATCCACAATATCCCGGGTATGATTTTTACGAAGTGCTTCTATTTCAGTTCTCATAGCCTCCTTCCATTCTAGCTTAGAGAAGGCCTTTGTAACTGACTTGGGTATAGGCTGAGAAGAAATGGAGGCTAAGAAAGAATAATAAGATGGGGATAACAAGCTATAAGGTAGGTTTTGGAAATACAATGTGCTATACATTTCCTTTTACCTTTTCTCACAACAATAGGTAGGTCCAAGTCTGGTAAGGAAGGTTCTGGAGCAGGCAGTGAAGGACTTATCCTCTCTTTAGGGGTTGAGAGTGTTTGAGGCTCAACTGTAGATGAGGGAGCAACCTGATCATGCTGTAGCCTTTGTCTTTGGTGCCACCTTTGAATAATGGGATGTATAATGAAAATTGGAGGACTAGTAGGAGGAGGAGCAGGAAAGGTAGAGCTAGAAGACCAGGGCTTTGCCATTGGAACAGAAGGAACCACAGGAGACTTAACCTTAGGATCATTAGGAGAAGATAGAGGAAGTGGTGAAGAAAACAGTTCAACGGAATGTTCCCCTTAGAAGAATGACCATAAAATGGAAGTGATTCTGCAAAGGTAACACCCATGGAGACAAAACGAGTTCCACTAGATGGACCAAAGCAACAAAAGCCCTTTTGTGTGGAGGCAAGGCATACCCTAAGAAAATGCACTTCTGGGCCTTGGGTTCAAACTTATGTCTCTGAGAGCTAGGGACATGAAAATACCATGTGCACCCAAAGACACAGAAAGTAATAGGAAACAATTAACTCTCAGGAAATGGCTTTCGAGGAATATGATAGTAGGTTTCAGTGGGTGGCTAGACCGGCTAATGCCTTGGCTGATTATCTTACTAAAGGAGACTTAACCTCAGGATCATTAGGAGAAGACAGAGGAAGTGGTGAAGAAAGCAGTTCAACGGAATGCTCCCCTTAGAAGAATGGCCATAAAATGGAAGTGATTCTGCAAAGGTAACATCCATGGAGACAAAACGAGTTCCACTAGATGGACCAAAGCAACAAAAGTCCTTTTGTGTGGAGGCAAGGCATACCCTAAGAAAATGCACTTCTGGACCTTGGGTTCAAACTTATGTCTCTGAGAGCTAGGGACATGAAAATACCATGTGCACCCAAAGACACGGAAAGTAATAGGAAACAATTAACTCTCAGGAAATGGCTTTCGAGGAATATGATAATAGGTTTCAGTGGGTGGCTAGACCGACTAATGCCTTGGCTGATTATCTTACTAAACAAGGGGCTACTTAGGTTTCTTCTGTTTATTAACTAAAGGGTTGATAGTATCCTCCATCTCCCCTCCTTAAACGGGAGGTAGCATCTTGTGCCTCTCCCTAAATTGTACTCTCTTTGGCTATGATTTAGTAAATCTTACTATTCACTGGTAAAAAAAACAATTCACTCTCAGGAAATAGGACATCAAAGGGAGATTTGAACCCCAAGACTCGAGAAGGCATGCATTTAATAAGGTAAGTAGTCGCTGTCACTACATCACCCAAAAATCTCACTAGAACAATGGTGGCAAAAAGGATGCTCCTGGCTACTTCAACAACATGCCAATTCTTTCTCTCTGCTACCTCATTTTGTTCTGTAGTACGGGGACAAGAGATTTGATGTATAACCCCAAACTTCTCAAAGTTTGAAACAAGATCATTCTCAAAATATTCTTTAGCATTATCCGATCGGAATATCTTGATGTGGGTATCAAATTGGGTAAGCACAATTCATGAAACTGTTTTGCAAGTTTGGGTACTTCAGCACAAAAACGCATACGGTAAAGCCAGGTGTATCAAGAAAAGTCATCAATAATCTGAATAAAATATTTATAACCATCCATGCAAGGTAAATGGTATGGCCTCCACACATCAGAGTGAACAATGTGAAAAGGAATTGTAGATCTTTTATTACTTGCAAAATTAGAGTTTCTACAATGCATTGACAACTTGGATGACTCACAATGTAGACTTGACAACTTAGTTTCTCTAAACAAAGTTGGAAGCAAAAGTCTCAACAAAGAAAAAGAAATATGATCCATTTGTCAAAAAAAAAGAGAGAAAGAAATATGATCCAAACAATAATGATATAACATAATAGGATTGACCGACTTTGACACATTTGAACCAAAAGTTTCTCTCGAAGGTAATACTTGACTTTGTCTAGGCATCCGATAGGTATATCCCATTTGCCTTATGGGCACTCCCAATCACCTATGAGAGTCAATGTCCTAGAAAACACCATAAGAAGGGAAAAATGTCACATTGCAATTCAAAGATTTTGTCAAATTACTAACCAAAAGCAAATTATTGTTTAATTTAGAAACATGATGGTGAGGGTGTCTGAAGCTCTAATGTTTCCCTTGTTAGAGATAGGAGCAAGAGAGCCATTAGCAAGTTTGACCTTATCTTGGCCAGATAAAAGTTGGTAAGTAGAAAATAAGTAGGACACACTAGTCATATATGGTTAAAGGCACTTGAATCAATTATCTAAGGGATCCTATGATTGCTTGAGATAAAAGAATGATTCGCAGTAGTACAAATACTTGAATGGGCATATGCAGATAAAGAGAGAACTGTCTTTGATGAAGTAGGTGCTGTAGCAATAGACTCTATGTGACTAATTATTCGATCATACTTCTCATACTCAACCTTGGCAGGTGCTAGTTTCTCTCATGCCCCTGTTCACTCTGTGAGGAGGTGGCTACATTTGCATTTGCATCTTTCGCATTCTCATTCCTTTTTTCATTGTTTGCATTCTTGAGTCTAGTAGGTATAAGCTCTAGATGCAGCTTCCAACAAGTGTCTTTAGTATATTTAGGCTTCTTGCAGTATTCACAAGCATCTTTCCCATTCTCTTTCTCTCCTCACTACTCACTATAGCGTAAGCTTTAGATAAAGTCACCTCATCTTTCACCAAAACAATTTGTCTCACAATATCATACTTCAGGTTAAGTCCGATAAGGAACTCAAAGATCAATTTCTTTCCACCAGCTTCCTATGTGTTTTAGCATCCTTTGTACACTCCCAAACCACAATTTCCATCAAATCAATCTCCTGCCAAAGCGATTTTAGCATGGAGAAGCAAATGGCTAAGGGCTTCTCCACCTCTCATCAGTAGGGTTATCCTCCCTTGGCTTCTTCTTGCTCTCGGTGATGTAACCCCATTTCCCTCTACTACACACACGTATCTTAATAGACTTAGACCAGGTTAAATAATTGGTCCCATCTAGCTTCATAGTGTCACTGCCCCAAAAAGATTCTCCATTGACCCTCCATGTCAAAACCTGGAATCTGTGGGATATTTGGTTTCTCCTCCAGTTTGCTCTATTTAGTGAAACGGAGATCAAAATAAGTCTCAATTAAGCTAGAATTGCTATCCCAAGCAAAAAGCTACTCTTCAAACTACCAAATATAGAGTTTCATAAGACCTGCCTGAATGGGAGAAGAGGAGAAAGTTCAACTGATCCTATCAGAGGTTCCAGAACTCTATCCAACTTAAGTTGCCCTTAATGAAAATCAAAAGGCTACACTTTGATCCCCAAGCGCTAGCTTCAAAGTGTCTCTAGGACCTATAACTAGTACTCTCTAGTCATCTAGGGTTTTTGGGAAAAAAAACTCCAAGAACCTGCCCTGGGCTTCAACTGGGGATGAAAAACTTCACAAAACCTCTCCAATAACCCTCCCAACTGGGCTGCCGAAGCTTCTCCCTAATCAGCCAATCAATTCTCCGTACGCATTGTGTATGGGCAAAGAGAGAAGAAAGAAAAGAATGTGAGAACGTGCTTTAATCCCAAGTTGTAAATCACACCTGCAATAATCTGAATTAAATGAAAAGAAACAGGAGAAAAGAAGGAGATTGAAGAGAGAAATGATGGAGGAAGAAGATGGAAGAAAAGGAAGAAGAGAGAGTAGTTCTAAACCTCTCTTCAGCCTCCAATGATCTTTTTTATTATTTTGTTGTAAAAAATAAGGACAATTACATAAGTGCCCTTAGTAGGGTGTCCATCATTAAAGACAGCAATAATAAACAATAATAAAAAGGAGAAAACAGGTCCATAACTAAGGCCCACTACCTACTAACACAAGTCATAAACATAACTTGAAGAAAAACAAATAAACTAAGGCCCATTCGGCCCATTATCCCTACAGGATGTGCAAAATATTGGGGGTGCATTTGGACTTTTGTGTGATAGGTGATTCTACTTGGACCAAAAGGAAAATTGTACAAAACAATTGTAATGTTTTATGGGGCAGAATGTTGGGCAGTCAAGGAACATGTCCAGAAAATAAGTCTGGAAAAAATGTGAATGCTAAGATGGATGGGCGGCAGAACTAGGAAGGATGGGATCAGGAATAAAGTCATTTGTAGGAACCTGAGTAGCCCCAATAGGTGATGAAATGAGAGAAGTAGACTAAAATGGTTTTATCACATGCATAGAAGACCATCAAAAGCTCCAGTTAGAAGAAATTTATTACAAGTTGAAGGGGTAAGAAGGCCTAAGGGTAGAGTGGTAGACCAAAAAGGACTTGGGTAGAAGTAGTAAGAAATGATTTTAGCACTAATATTTTAATAGTAGAATGAATTGGAGAAGCAGGATTTGTGTAGCCGACCCCATTTATTTGAGACAAGGCATGGACGATGATGATTATGCCTATTCAGATTGAATCAAAGAGATTCTTCTTTCAGAAAGTAATTCTATCTGGGCTTGAGTTCAAGATATTGGAACTGAGCAAGGTGCAAAAGATAGTCTTGAATGGTTCATCCTTTTCCTGGATTCGGTAGCTAAAGACGAGAATAGACAAATGGAGCAAACATGGGGAGAATAGAAGATCATACTTTGCAGAGACAAGGAAGGCAAACATGCCTTTTTGGTGTTGCTAGAATTCTTTGGCAGAGGCCAAAGTAAATGTGTTCTCATTCCTGCGGGCAACTAGGGTGAAGAGTGGAGGGTTTTTGGTTCTAGAATCGAAATGGATCTTGACTTTGAGAATGGAACACTGATGATCCCTAAAATGTCCTGTGAAGCCCTTGAAAATGGGAAGCTTGTACTCCAAATGACTCGGTCTCTTGTAAAGACAAACTCCAAGTGGCTCCAAAACCTTCTGCTAGCAAAAACTTTCAATCTTGGATGCTACTGACAGTGGAAGGAGACCTTGGTGTGTGAAGTGGAAAGCAAATTGAATTGGGTTATCTTCAAGCAAAACCTAATGCCAATTTTTGGGCTGTCCAGAGGCTCTTGGTTTTGTCATTTAACGATCATGAAGCTGTTCCGGTTTCAAAAGAACTACAAGAAAAATCAAGAGATTTTTTGGACAACTGGGGTTTTTCCACACAAGGCAAACATTGAGTGAGGAAGTGGAATCCAGAAGTGAACAAGGTAAAATGGAGGAGCAAGGAGGAGATGATCAACTTGTTTGTGTTACCCTTGCACCTGTGTAATGTTGCATCGTTGAAGATGTTGGAATACCTATGTTGGTCCAAGCAGAAGATTGTGGGAAGATTCAAAAACTCCCTATTTCCGAAGTTAACAAATGGTTCTTTTTGCATTGGACCTATATCCAATGGCCTCTTTCACTGATTGTTATTATTCTTGAGGCTCCATTAAAGATCAAGTGTTCACTCTGTACTTCTACATGAAATCAAAGTATATATGTTTTAATTTTTATGTTTATTTTAATTGACATTTTCTCATTTTTTATGTTTATGAAGATGCTGATTTTTCAAGTTGGTAGACTTTGAAAATTGATAGCACTACTTGCAAAACTTGAAAATCATAATACAGAATTTTGTCACTTGTTAAATTGGTCTATGTGCATGGTGTAGCAGAGCCCACAATATAAATCACTTGAAACTTGAACCATGTTGATGTGTGCAACAATAACATATGTTTTATTGGAAACAAAGGAACCGTCTACAAAATGGTGGCCAGCAAGCCAAAATAATCAGGCTCTTCGAAGAAAGTTGTTTACTGAGTTTAGCATGGTGTGTATTTTTGTGTAGGCAAAGGAAGTCATATATTTCTCCTTTCATTATTTGATGTGCTGTTTTTTTTTTTGGTCAGATAGATTCTGCTTTACAAGAAGGGAGTGAAGCACTGAAACTCCTTATATCCAAAGGTTTGACGGAGAGTGCTAGATGCTTTAACAGGGAACAAAAGTATAAGCATTTAAGATTACAGACATTACAAGTGTGAGCATCAAATTTCCAATAACCATAATTCTCTCTAAGTTGGTCATTGGTTTTGCCAAGGAGAGACTAAACAAGAATGTCCCATATGATGAAGAAACTTCACTCTTAAAGGCAGATGTCCTGATGTTCTATCAGAGGTTTAATCTAGCGATATAAAAAAAAAGGTCAATTATTAGGCAATGAAAGATCCCAAAATTGGCAGAGAAGTCTTAGGAAACACCATACAATCCATTATACAGTTCTGGGGAAAGTTCTATCAATTTCCATGCTAATTTCTGTTAGTGCATCAGTCCGAGAGCAGTCGAACACAAGCAAACATTTCCTATTGCTGACATAAATTAGCCCCTAATTGAAGAATGAAGTTTGTTTTATTGACCATGTAATAACTTATCTTTGGCTATTACATTATTACTTCTAAACATGGATAAGATGTTATCTTAGCCTACAGTTGCTATCCTTTTTCTTTAAATAAAAATTCTTTGTTTATTAGGGAGAGATGAATATTCAAGTTACGGTGATTCTTGCAACTATGGTGCTATCGAAGTATTTTTTTTGTCATACACCTGCAGAGCATTTGTATTAGAACCAGATGTCAGCTTATGTGGTTGAAAAGTTTTAGGTCTTTTATGAATTTTATTGTATTCAATGCCATCTGATTAATGTTGGATTCTTGATTTTTTTCCTGTCTGACAACATTCTGACAAATGAAGATGAAAATGGATATCGTAGTGAGAGAATGTCATGAGGTTCTAGAGTGTTCATGATAATTGATAGAGGCAGAGGGATATTGTGAAAAGCACTTCTAATGTATTAGGAGGGTGCAATCAAACTTCCTATTGAGTGAAAAAGTAATATTATGAAAAGTTCCTGAGATAAGGCTCAATTTGGAAGGAGTACGAAAACAAATATGTAGAGTGAAAACCTTGTATTTTGTATTTTTTTTAATGTATTTGGACTCTATATATTTGTATTTGTGCTCCTTCCAAACTGAGCTAAAGAAAAAAGAACGAAAATGCATGCCATGAAGATATACTAATGAACCGAGGGCTGGCTCGTTGGTGTATTAGGTGGTTTATTCCAGCATTGACGTGGGCGGGGGAAGTTATTAATGATGCATAGCAACGAATACAAAAAAAAAAAAAAAATTCTAATGAGATAATTTGCTATTGGATAACGAACTTGGGGGGTAATCTGTTGAATTTTTAAAAGCTTCTTTGGTTCTCCCTCTCTTTTCCCTTTTGGCTGCTTAGGCTATATCTGTGATTAGAGGATAAATATATCATAAGCTGTGGAATTTTTATTTCTCAACCGTCAAAATATTGAAAGCCTGACCGGACTATTTGACCTAGGAACCGGTCAGGTAACTGGAACTGTTTCACTCAAAAATGTTCCTGGGCCACAAACCGTTGATTTGGTCAGTGATCCCGAACTATTGACCTGTCAACCCGGGCAACAGTTTTTGACTTATTTATTTTATTTTTTAAATCAAAATGGGCTGTTCGTTTGAGCTGAAATGAACTGGTGGCCAAAACAGTTCCATGCCTGTTACGGTTTTTAAAACCATCGTCAAAATGTATTAAAGGAAAAATATATCATAAGCCCTTCATTCTCAAGGTGGAGGCAGGAATAAGCAATCCTTGCATAGAGGTCCAAAGAATGTTGGCAATGGGAAAGAAATGTCTACTTCAAGATGGATGCAAACACACTTCCCACCCGTCTCTTTCGCATCACTGGTTGACTACAGTTTTCAGATTTTCTTATCCAGAAACAAAGCATTTTCTTTCTCAACATCCTTGACGGGTGTGACATTATCCTTGAAAGTGTTCCAGTTAAGAGTAAACAAGCAACTAGGATTCTATTATAGGCACTGTTTTCAAAACCGGATCGGACCGAAAAAATTGGGAACCGGTCACCTGACCAGTTTCGTTTTTCTCCAAAACCGCTTTTTTCCCCAAAATCGTTGATTTTGGTCAGCAAACCGCTGAATAAGCGTTCAAACGGTTTTGACCGTTTTCCAATTTTTTAAATTTTTTTTTATATTTTTTGTTAGAATGGGCCGGCCATTTGGGTCAAACGGTCAGACCGTTCGAGCCGGTAATCGGACCCCTGACCGGTTCAGTCACCAGTTCATTTTTAAAAACCATGATTATAGGTGTTATACGGAGATTTTTGGAGAAATTGGTCAGCAATAGCAAGGTGCTCATCTAGGAAGACCAAGGCATTTACAAGATGGACTCCACCACCGGGGCAGAAATGGAGAAAATTTTAGGTTTCATCATAAATTGATGAACTTAGCAAGTCTGTGAAGATGGGAGAATTTGTGGAGGTAGGCCGTTGGAAAAAAGCTTTGAAGATTGAATCTAAGGAGCTCTTATTTGAGGAGCTGAGATTAAATGGTCAGCTGAGCTTGAAAATCAGGGAAGCAAAGAGAGGGATGGTGCTGTTAGAAGGTTTGGGGGTAATTGAAGGGTTCAAGGAGTTTGTGGAAGGTGCAAGTAACAAAGGCAA